TCCTGCTGCTGTATAATTTCTTTGATTTTGAACTTTGTCATGTTTTAATTTTGCTGGCATTTTCTGCTTCGAGCCCATTACCTCTGCAGTATACTATTGGTGTGGACAGAGGATGGTTGGTAAATGGGGATGCAGATGAATTGCATGAATAAGGTTTGAATTTTAAGAGAATCCAATTGCCTTAAGAAAATGTTTTAAACTATTCTGACACTGGCTGAGAGATTAAAATGTATAGGGGAGGTACTTGGAAAAAACAAAGGTGCTTGAGGTAAGACAGCTTCACCAGCAAGGCAGGGGAGCAATAGAACATTCTTTGCTACAGTGTTTTATTGGGTGCCTTCTGTGCTGTTGCTTAGGACCATATAATTCCTAGTTACATGCTAAAGGAAAATGTTTCTTAAGGCAAAGTTTCTTAACTGCAGTTGTTTGTCACTATGTAGAAAATGTACTGACGATACTCCACATCATTGAAGTTGTATAGTCAACTAAATATCCAGACTACAGACAAATTAGGCCTAAGAGCATTAATGTGGAATAGTAAGATTGTTTGCACCTTATTTCTTTGATGTAACACAACACATAAATGGGGAGAAAGGAACAAAACACAGGCCAATAACATCATGCCCATTTTTGATGTCCTGTTCCACCTCATTCTATGTAGGTTATATTTTGTTCAAAATTTCCAAGTGGCTGCTTTTGAGGATCAAACTGGAGAGAATTTGCTCCTTAAAAACATTTTGAAATATATAGGACCCTTCTTGGTTAAGTCTGACATTTTACCCACCACGCTTCCTGCCTGGATTACCATATTTACTTGACTATAAGACAGCTCCCAATAATTAGATTCTCTATATAGAAAATATATTAATTTATTATAATTTTCCAGGTACAGAATCTACTTATTGGAGGTTTGTCTTGAATTAGTCTGCTTCCCACTGCTACATCAGGGGAAATCAACCTGAAGGAACAGGTGCTTCCCTTATACCCCAACTTTTTCCTCCTGCAGCCCCTTCGCCCTCTCCTTAATGTGAGACCCTGTTCTCCTTTAGCATATGGAAGTGAGGGGGAAATTTAAAAACACTGGGCACATCTACATGAAACACTTACTGCAAAGCAGACTAATTAGCTCCACAGTAAACATCTCACATCTACATCACATCTACACATGTGACCTTATTAGGCCACAGGAAAATAATTAACTCCACAGCTGGATAATACTTCTGACTACAAATACTACCCCCCTGTGGAGTTTTTTTTTTTTACTCTGCAGTACCCATTGCACATGCAGCTGGCTGGGGCAGAAGGGTGCTTCAATACAGGGGCTGCCTGATGGCTAGCCCTGCACTGGAGCACCCTTCTGCAGCACACTGAGCCGAGCTGACGTAGTTGTGGGGTGGCAGGCTGACCCCCAGGTCTCTTGCCAGCCGGGGCTGCTCCAACCCAGCTCAACGTGCTATGCTCCCAGGCACATGTGTAAATGCGGTGCCTGGGAAGCAATAAATGCCAGAGTGATAAGCACCAGCGTTTACTGCTTTGACTTAATTTCATGTGTAGATGCGCCCACCGGCTTTAAAATAAACATACCTGTGGTAATGTATATATAGGCCAAATACTATAAACTCTATAAACACACTTTTAAGCAGCACTTTTGTACCTACTTAGAAAGAATATAAACTATTCATTATATCAGTTCAAAGCCAAAAGACTAATGTTTTACCATACAGTTCTTTGGGTTGGGTCCCAGCAGAATCAACAGCATTTCAAGCCATGGTGACCCCACAGCTCAGCACTGCTCAATATGTGTGTGTACTCCAGATAATCCCCAGAAAGGATCCATGAGTTAATTAGCTCCCCACTCATGCCTGGAACCGTGTTCTTTTCATGAGTCCTGGGATCCTCCAAAATTTTATACTCAGATGAGGGAGACGCAAAAGGGGAATTTTATCCTTACTGTTGATTTAGGTAGTGGAGTGCTGGAGAAACATTTATTTTATTCATTTAGTATTCACTCTTGACTTTCTCCAAACAATGGCACATGGAGAGAGTATGTGGGTGCATGATTGCCCTAGGGTTCAACGTGGTAACTGTGGACTGGGTTCTCCTGACTAAACCTGGCCACAAGTCAAAGAAGAAGGACCATGCCCATTGGACAACAGGATGAGTGGGGCCTCAAGTTTCTATATGAGAAGGGACCATCTTTCCTAATATCTTGAATGCTTGTATGATAGCAGTCAGAACATTTTTTTAAAGAGTGGGGTGCTAAAATCCTTATTAGTTGGCTGTGGGATAGGAGGAACTAACAGTAGCCTGGCCCAAGAATTAAGGAACAACAGATCTTGTTGGGGTCGGACTGAAGGAAGAGTTAAAATCTTCCAGTTTTAAATTTATTCATAAAAGTGAAGCATCTAGGTTAAATACATTTATGGTGCTGTGTCTTTCTTCCTGGTATGTCTGACTCACAAAGCACATTACTGCAATCAGGAGATTTAAGAAATGTCTTTCTGAGCCCTTAAGGAAAATGTGTATTAGAGAATGAGCCACTTAGAGATCAATAAAAGCTCCATGTCATTTAAAATCACACTTAAATTCCTAAGTGTGCTGTGTTTTCTCCCCCCCCCCCCCCCGCCAGTATTTTTTTTTCCCTTTACAGATCATGTGCCACTAACAAAGAGATTAATGTGCTGGCACGATTCAACACCTATTTTACTGCTTGCATGCAGACAGACATCCCACAAGCTTCTGCCTCATGGACATTCAACAGAAGCCCATCGTTAATACCCTCCAAGTTTGTTTGAAATCATTAAGCTCCCACCTTTAATTGCTGCTTTCTAACACTACTGGGGAATCTTGACTATTCAAGCGCACTCTTTAATCCAGCTTGACAGTAAAAATGCATTAACCTTCATGGCCCAAACCCGCCTTTAGCCCAGAGAGGAAGGATAAATTGTTTACCCAAGGAAAGCGAGCATAAATTTTTTAATAAATTCCATTTTGTTCCAAGAAGGTTAACAATTCATTTATGATCACTGATTAGACAGTGACAGAAAACAAAACTGCAGTTTGTTTTTTTGTCCTATATAGCTCAACTGAATGGCACTTGTGATAGAAGTAAATGCAAGCATTTCTCCATTACCACTGGTAAAATTAAGTAGTTCCTGAAATTGTTTATTATTTAAAGTGCATAGTATATTTGCCTACATATGACTATAATTGAGGTATTTGCATGTTTGTGCATCTCATATATTGATCTCTATACCTTTTAAATATATAGATATATACTATACAAAGGTTGCCATGAACAAGACATTTGCCAGCCATTTACAGCATTGTCGTACTTGGAATGCGACAATCTGTGGACTTTCTCTGTATATTAAGGAAGACATAATTATATTATCTCAATACCTACACATTAAAAGATTGGTATATGTTACCTTTTGCATGATGACTTCTCTAGATGTACGTAGAGAGACAACAGAGGATCATGTCAAATGCCCTAGTCTGTGATGCCCTGTGGGCCCTGACACAGAATATCATCTGCTCTCCATTGCTTCACAAAGACGGCATGGTTAGACTGGAGGTGGGGGGGAACTTAACACATACTAGAACTGCTGCATCTGGCAGAATCTGGAACAGCTGCACAATCTGATGAAAGACGGGTGAGGAATCCCCAGCATCAGTGATATAGAGGCAGTTCCAGGCCACTTTCCCAGGCCCAATATAAGGGATGTAGTAGGGAGAGTGTGTAGCCAAAGGCCTAGTGAACACCTGCACTTCCTGGCATAGATGGCTCTCTGGTCAGCTAGCACAAACAAGGCTCTGCAACTTGTAACAGTGGGTGAACTGGCCTACGGCCTCAGGATTACACAAGGTGCAGAGATGGTAGCGTCCTGAGTTCAGCTTTGCCAGCTCCCATGGATAGTATACTCTAACATATTTTAACTAAATCCAAATGTGCTGAAATTGGCTCAGCTCTACAAACAGAGCATGTTTTATTGTTTAATTTCACTGGCAGAGGTTCAGCGAAAATGTGAGTAGATATGTTAACTGTCAAGGTGAGGCTGCCTATCTGCTCGATGAGGGCTCATCACCAGCTCAGGAATGACCAAGCCCCGTTTGTATAATTTTCATTTGTATAAAGTACTCACCCGTAGCATTTTAATTTGCAGGGTCCCCTGATCCTGTATGGATGTTCTAGGATCTCTGCCCAGGAAAGTGAATCCTTCCTTTAACCAGCTAATAACAGGAAGTGGGTCACCAGTCGCCTTACATTTCAGCAAAGCTGTCCCATCTACTGCTAATGTCTGGTTGACTGGCCCCTGAAGAATGATGGGTGGAGGCCTGTCTGTTAAAACTAAGTGAGAACATAAAACATTATTATTTTTTTCCTTTTTAGAATAACATATAGCAGTTAGCATCTCATTTGCAAGAACAGACTTGCATATGTTTTTCAGACAGGCCAATACACTATTTCACTAATCAGGAAAACATTAAAAAGTATGTGCTGAGATCCTGTTAAAGCCAACAATAAGCATGTGCTTAAATGCTTTCTTAAATATGTCTTCCAGAATCAGGGCCTAAAAGTGGAAAGTTGGTAAAAATAAATAAATAAATAAATAAAAAGGTAACCCAAATCCCAATTAACTGTATTTGGTTAGTTAAAGTGGATATTGGTTCAAAATTTCCTATTCATGCTCCATCAACAAATAATTTTTCAGCTGAAAACATCTAACAGTAAAATAAAATCTTCTCATAATTTTGAGCACGCTAACTGATTGCACTGCTCTCTCCAGTGGGGAACAATTCCAATTTAATCAAGCTGTCTAACTGCTTACTTATCAAATCATTTCATCACCTTTTAAGACCATGAACTCTGCTATTTTTCTCCTAATATTTTACATTTGCATGCTTGAAATATTTCATAAAGGACTCTGTAACCAGTGAGTGCATGGCTGCCTATAAGCCTCATTCTGCTACCAGTGGGATATCTAGAAAATGAGGTAAATGCTTATGTTCACTTTTCTTGCAAGAACAATTTTTCATAAATAATTCCACTGTTGAACCTATTCCCTATGCCATCTGTTAAGCAGAAAAAAAATATATACTTCTTTGTTTCTATAGGACTGATTTAAACAAAAAAAGAAAGTAAAATACACGATCATGAACAAGGGGCTAGATTCTTTATTGTCATCAACTGAGTCAAACCAGCATAAAATCAGTGTAAGAGTATTGAGAATTTGCCCTCAAATGTTTAGTTTCCACACTGCTGCTGTTTTAAATCTCTGAACAACAGGTTATTTGGCATCTGAATGAAAATATTCTAATAATTGGAACCATCTTCTTTGTGGGTGTAAATTGCCATCATGGATGTCATTGGAGCTATCCCCCTTTACACTATCTACACATCTTCTTCAATGCACTTAGCATTTTGATTTCTCATAAGAATCTTCATTCCGTATACAGTTTATGAAATAGGAAAGTGTTAATAAGAACTAGAGTTCCTCACTCCACCTTTTTCACCTCCACAAAAACTGTTTCTGGATCTCTGATGTCACAACAATCCTAAGCACTTTTCTTTATATGAGAAGATAACCTGTAATTATACTACTTTGGACTACGATCTCATCAAACTTACTGAAATCTAAAATTTCACATTTAAATAAAAAACTATTCCAAATGATTTATTATTGTAGAAAATGATAACTGCCCTGGAAATTCTGAAATGCAGTACACTGAATTCAGAAATGAAATAGGAACCAATTTGACACACAAGGGCACACAATGGGATTCATTTTCACTTCAGCATGCGTTTTTATATTTCAGTAGTCAAGTAGACATATCACACAACTGTTGATGAGTGCCCATGACTTCATACACATTTTCAGATGATCTGGGAGCATTTTCCTGGGTTTCTTTTCCTGGTAGAAAAACTCACCCAGAGATTCCTGAATAATTTTGCTGAGCCAGTGAAGAGCAGAGATTTTGCAGTGCTGATGCTGCAGAGCCAGGAGCCCACTATGCACATCTCAGCATGTTCTGCAGGTTCCTTCACTTGGCAGCAGGGCACAAGGCAGCCCTGATTGTTTGATTGAGACTGCTCAGGCTCAGCTTGGGTCCCCATACAGCACAATGTGGAGATTATGAAGGGGGCACGTTCTGCTTTCTGCTTGGCTGGAGCAGTAGAGTCCAGCCCAAGCAGCACATTGTCTGCTTGGGGGAGGCAAAAACAAATAACCCTGGGATGCTAGAGGGCTGTGCTGTGGCTTCTCTCAGAAGGAAACGTGTATAGACATCCACTCCCCCAGGAGAAACTATCCTGGGATAAATCTAACCCTGGTTGTTCCAGGATTATTTTGCTCCAGGAACATCAATTTTTGCTCTGAGAGAAAAACCCGTGACATCTGTACACTCATCATTTCTACTTGAAGTACAGTGACTTTCCAAAGAGAAACTGAATGTTTGCATGTGGTCTCTAATGCATGCATTTTGAGAGACAGCATTTTGGTCACAGTTTATACTATAATTGTAGAAGTACATATTATACAATAGAATAAAAGAAAATACTTTTAGCATAAGTATAATCAGGGGAAGAGATATCCATAGAAGTTCCCATTTAGATTTTCAATGCAGAGCAAAGAGTCTTTCAGTTTTCTAGTTGAGTAGGTATGGATTTAAGAATGAAAACATATAATTGCTTACGTTTATAACTATACCTCTTTAGTTATTTGTGGAAACTAATTCTCTTTTATATGTGTAGCAATGTAGACATTTTAAAAGCCTATTGCATTTTAGATATTGCTCTTTGGCATCTAATTAGTTTTTTTACTGCCCAAATGAGTAGCTCATAATCCTTTAAATAGGCTTGATCAATAAAGTAATTGAAAGTCTCCTGGCAAGAAGGAATCTTCATTTTCAAGGGTGTTATGGGTGAAAGACTACTACAGGTTTCCATGACACTAAAGGCTAAAGGTTAAATGAACACTTAGGGTTTCCAGTGATCTGTGAACAACTGTACTGTCTTCACAACTATGACCTGTAAATCTTCTGTAAAATATCTTTAAATTTTCCTGTTTTTATCAGTTATTTAAATAAATAACCGGGATCCCTACTACATAGGTCTTGTACTGAACAAGAAGCTAAATCCTGAGTAGCATTTTTGAAAGAAGTTTGCATATGTATTAACACTTACCCTGTTTTAAAGATGGATCAATACTACAATAAGTCAATGAATAGTTATTGTAGCTTTATTTTTTCCCAGTGCACAACTTCTGTATTAATTTTCTATTAACATTTGTGCAAGCAAATTTTACTGGCATGAATGTTCATGGAAGGTGAATTTCAAAGACATCTGTGCTTGCATTCAGTATTCATTGAATTTAAAATTAGTATTTGAAAGCATATACATATATCCATGCATACTGGTGAGAGAAATCAGACCATATATCTTCTCTGACCAGAGCTTAGCAATACAACTTGATTTCTGACCAGTGGTTTGAGTAAGGTGAATTTAATTTTTTGACAAATAGCTGACCAAAAAATGTAGTTTATGCTTGACAGATGCTACTTGAAAGTTTGGGTTGAATACAGTAAAGCAATTGGGTCAAAAGGAAAACAATTCAGAAATGCCAAAGTGAAGCATTTCTGAAGGAAATAATTTCAGCTTCTTACACAAATTCACAAGAGGAAGGAGCCACCACTCAGAAGAAAAAAAAAAAGGAGGGAAAAGACAATTCAGCATTCCCCCTGTAATGTCTAGAAAATCTAGGCTTTGGGACACTCAAGTTCAAATACCTTCTTTTGGACTGAAACAGGAATTTGAATGAAGGTCTCCTACTTACTGGGTGTGTCTACACGAGATGCTAGGTTGCCATAGAGATGAACTATGATTACGTAGCTCACCGCTACGGTGACATGTCAGCAGCCACAAACCGTGATACCAATGCCAGTATGCAGTAGCAATGAGCTACTGAGCAGTAGCTTGTTGCTACTGTGCAGTAGTGTCAGAAACAACCTTTGCACCGCTGCGACTGCACAGTAATGACAGTCTGTAGACACAGGTGCACATGTAGACATGCCCACTAGGAGAGAGCCCGTTCCATCACAATCAAGAGAATTTTCAATTCTTTTTTAATATTTCCAGCATTTGATTTTTAAATATTCCATGGACAAGGAATGGAAGGGTCGATATCCCCACAGGCAAATAAATGGGCTATAAATGGATATTTAAGTATTCCAGAACAACTTCAAAGGAAGAACTGTGAGTGATATACTACAGAACACCCTAGATCAGGGGTTCCCAACATTTATGTGCCCAAGGGCACATCTGAATTTAATAGAAAAAGCAGTGGGCACCAATATGAATATTAAAGTTTAGAATTTAGAATCCTGGATATGCATATGTGCCTGGTTTCTTTTGGGGAGGGAGTAGTAAGTGCCACTCCAACACTGTGTCAGTTGGACTGATTCAGTCTCATTTTGGTGGCCATTGTGTACAGCCTGTGAAAAAAAAATCTGAAGTGTTGTTGTTCTGAGTTAAATTGGCAGTGACAGCATTTTTTGTTGGAATAATGACTTTTACTGATCGTGAAAACACGTGCGGGCACCTGAATAAACCTTAGGGGGTGCCATGGCGCCCACAGGCACCATGTTGGGAACTGCTGCCCTAGATGGTATCTCCTGAAAAGTGGGATACCCTACTTCAAATGAGGCAGAGGAGGACTCTTAGCTAACAGGTAAGAGTCCACCTTCTCTGCAACCTATTTGGTTTTGTGAATGACTTCAAATTCTCCTTATAAACCATCTCTTTAGTTTTATTAAAAATGCCTAGAAACAACGTAAGATAAGTTTTTATCGGTTCACTGAAAATTTGGTATCTAATTTGATTCTTTTCAATTCTTTAGCTTATCCCTCTGACTACTATGGGTGCCTGTACATGAGCCCAGAGGCTGCTTCAACGTGCTGTAATTACAGTGCGTCAGAGCAGACTCGATTAACTGAGTCTGCTGGAGTATGGTAATTACCATGCCCCAGCTAGCCACCGTGTCTTGTGTACCAGTGTCCCCGCACTTCAAAATGGCGGTGGAGGTACTTTATCTAAAGGTCATTGGATGAGCTTTGAATAAACCGCCCCTGCCGCCATTTTCAAGTGCAAGGACACTGATACACGAGATTCTATGGCACTCTAATTAAAGCACCCCTGGGCACCTGGCCACACTCCCAAAGCACGTGTAGAAATGCCTTGTGTGTACATGTACGTTAGAGGGACAAGGCAAAAAAAATAATCAAAATAATTGAATTAGATATAATATATAGATACATATTTACTACACACATGCACATACACACACACTCACATGTGCACGCGCACACACACACACGTTTGCAAAATCCAAGTAGTGGTTGTGCATAGTTACAGAGAGCTATTAGGCAGTAATTCACAGGGTTAAAAATGCATGCAGTGGTTGGGAAGTTCAATCAATAAATATGAATAATGAATAGGTTAAAAAAATTGAGATCTACTCCTGAATATTCTGTGCACAGAGAAAGAGGATAAATTTATGGAATAAATTACTAATTGTGAATTATTCTCTCCCTCTCTTTTTCAGTCTCTCTCTCCTCTCTCTCTCTCTCATAGACAGAGACGGAGGCAGAGACAGACACAGACACACAGACACAGACACAGAGTTAGGCTGAAGTAGTTAGTTAATTTGCATGACCTGCCATTATAAGACTGTGCACTGCATATCTACTTTTGCTTTTGAAAATGTTGCACAGACTGTCTTCATTTTTAAAAATGATTTTACTTTTCCAGATGTGAGTTAGACAGTGGATTTATGTGCTGGTCTTTCAAGAAAGAACAAGATTTGAATTTCAAATATACTGAAGGCTCTTAGCACAGTCCATAATCAGCAAAATTATCACTCAACTCAGCACATTTCATCACAGCTAGTAATCTCTTCTCGTATGAACACTTGAGTTAAAAATATTTCCAGTGAAGACTTGTAAGTGCAAAAATGTAACAACTGAAACACTTCTATATATGGCATAATTAAGCACTTGTTTTTCTGCACATGACATATGTTTTCATTCTGTATTGGAATTTCAATTGGTTCTAAATTACTCTGGATCAAACAAAAATGTGTTCGAAATGAAAATGATGGCTCGCCACTATTATTAAATCATTAACCAAACAGAAAAATTCTGGGCTATGAAGTAAAACTGAAATCACCAGCCAAAAACTGGAAAGCTAATGCTTAAATATGTGGCTAACATGTGCACTGTTTATATTTTAATATATTTTTAAACCGTGAAATTAGATTTCTCTACCGTTAAAATGATTGACTTTCATAACTTCTACACAGCATCAGCTGACAAAGCCTATTTAGACATTTATGGCTAATTCCCCAAGTATAAGCAATGTCAGAAATTATCTACTATGCAGTGGAATCTATATGTATACAACTTGGGTTACAGAGTGCTCTTTTTGCATTTTCTTAATAACCTCTCCCTACCCTTTTCCTAAAGAATAATCTTGGATTATTTTGCAATCATTGTACTGCCAGTCAGGTTCTGGGAAATACTGAAAAAGGCTGTTTTTTCAACCCTTTAGTCATCCAGCTAATAGTTAATGTTTTCTGTAGGTTTTTCAGAGTACAGAGTACCTGAGAATATGACTAATTTGAGTTGAGTCTGCATTTTGGCATGAACACCTTAATGAGCCGTTCTGTTGACTGGTTGTAGGAACTGATGAAAAATTCAGAAGAGGTCAATTATGATTTCCATTCTCTCTCTCACATCCATACGCATGCACTCATGCATGCATACACACACATGCACACAGAGAAAAAGATGAAGATGACGACGGACCAGAGACCTTGTCTGTCGAAAGGAAAAATTTCTCATCACTGATATCCTTGAACCTGGCTTGCTCTTTTCGGCCCCTACCGCAGTAAATCTCTGCAGCATCAGCAGGTGCAACCATTAACAGCTCAATGTCCTCTCAGCCAATGTTTGTATGTTCTATTTATTCCAATCTCAGGCATGGCACTGAATCAGGCAGTGCCATGGACAGATATTAAAAAATACTGCCTTTCCATTAATTTTAAATGACCTTTTAATCTACATGTAAATTTGTATTGTATGAAAATGCATCATTTTGTCATAGGGAGTGAGAGAAAAGGAAGACTTAAAGAGGTCACAGAGGGAAGGTTAGTCTTTAATCTGCTAGAAACTACTTTGCAGAAATGCACTGGGTGCTTGTAAAGATGCAAGGATAGAGAAGAAATTATCTCCCCCTGTCATAAAAATATAGACAGCTTTTGGAAAACAAAGAAATGACATCAAATTCATTCTTAAACCTCTATAGCTTGTGCCTGAACCTCTCTACCTGTCACCTGTGATGAATATGGTCTTGTGAAAAGCCAGATTATTCAGAATTAGACATCTTTTCAAACTTTCATGGTGCAGGCAGGTCTCTAAGGGAGCTGTAATAGTAGATCTGTGCATATAACAACATTTTTAATGGTAAAGATTCATCAAAGTCTGTCAGGAGATATTTAATGAATCAGTTAAGATAAGGAATAAGGAGGCCAGTGAATACTATAATCTGCCAGGCAAAGTGGAATTTCTGTTTTTTTTAGTATATACTGCCCTAGATCCATGACCAGAAATCACAGAGAAGCCAGCATGATTCATGGGAGAAAATGGAAGGGTAGTTTGTGTGCACTGGCAGACAGGCAGGAATGTATTTTATGTAGTTTTCTAAAATTAAGTTTTGAAATGCAAGTGATAAGTTGAAATGTGCTGTTTTTTTGTCAACCCTACCACCTAGCTAAGTATGATTTACATTAATTCCATTGCTCTAATATTTGCATACTTTTCCACTTCAATTAATTTATTTTTAAATCTCTCCTGTGAAGTAAGAAATACCTGTATTTACACAGAAACTAAAGGCTATTATGTTAGTTATGGAAATCAGCATTGGTCTGTTGTGTTTAGTATAGCTATGCCAATGCTGCTGAGCTAAGCATATGTCCTTAAGTCACTAGCCTAAGGTAACATAAAAAGTCTGTGGTCAAGCAAGAAATTGAGCATATTTCCAATGAATACCAGTTCAGCCCTTTTACTACATAAGCACTCATTGCTCAATAACTTAATTCTGCATTAGACGACGGCAGCTTCAATTTCTTCTTCAGTATAATAAAACATGTCCTTTTTCAGGCTTTTGTATTCTAAGTTGGTATGTTCTTCCATTTGTACTTTTAGTTTAAGGGGTTTTCAACCCCGCATCCCATGTCTTTGTGACAAAGTGGGTGCATCTACCGGAGATATTTACTGCAGAGCTAACTAATTAGCTGTTCACTTAACATCTCATGTCTATACATGCATATGAGGCACAAGTCAACTAATTTACTCCACAGTGGGACAGTACTTGTAAATACAAGTACTATCCTGTTTCAGTTTTTTACTCTGCAGCAACACATGTGTAGATGCTGACAGGGCTGGCTGGGGCATGAGGGTACTTCAGTGCAGGGGCTGCCTGACAGCTAGTCCTGCACTGGAGCACACTTGTGCCCCAACCAGCCCCTCTGCAGCACACTGAGCTGAGTCAGCGCCTCCCTGGGTTGGCAGTCTGACCCGCGCGAGCTCCTTCCCAGCTGGGCCTGCTGTGCTCCCAGGCATACGTGTAACTGTGGCACCTGGGAAGCAATAAACTCTAGCATGAGAAGTACCATAGATAACTGCTTCAAATTAATTGTACATGTAGATGCACCCAGTGGAGAGCATTAAGATCCTTTGTGCATGGCATGTAATCTATAGTTGCTGATATGATTAACCTGATCTCTTTTCTCTGTATTTGCAAGATTTTTAATTTTTTTCTGTGCTATTGGTAAAAAGCAATGAACAGTAAAAACCAATAGAAATTTTCGTATCTCACCATCAGTGACTTCCAGTTGAGCCTTTGCTAAAATGCTTCCTGCAACCGTCAGCGCCTGACAGATGTAGTAGCCTGCATCAGACCGTTGAATGTTGGTAATAGTGAGGTCCCCTGTTGGTGACACTGAATACCTACTGTTGGGTTGGAGAGGCTGGTTTGGAAAGAGTAGATTCTGTAGAGACATGTGATACCATATCAGTGCAAAATAAGAGCATTGTTTTGTTTTGCCATCAGTCAAATACTCAATGATTTCCTTTACAAGCAGTATATAAAAATACAAATATAAACAGTGCTACTAGTTATACCACATGAGGATTTCATAAGCATAACCCCCCCCCCCCCCCCCCAAATCATCCGAATCCTCCGAACACCCCCCCCCCCCCCCCCCCCCGAAATGTTTCCTGCTTTGGAGAGTTTGCTGTTTAAGTCAGACAAAACATACTATTAAATAACAAAAGATAACAGTTTCAGGTAGGGGTACAGGCAAGAGGGAAAGGTGTCAATGATTATACTTAGATGGTTTGAATTTATTTCATATAGTCCTTCTTAGTTCTGGATTAAATTTTAATAAAATTAACAGTGGGCAACAGACCAGGAGATAACACTGGAGTACAGATTAGAAAAATACCTGAAAGAAGTGAATTATGAAGAGATATTTGAAGGGCCACAGAGAGACTGCTTGGCAATGAATACTTTTCCAGGCAAAGGGGGAAGCAGGAACAAGAGAAGCACAACTGGGAAGAGGATACAAACAGACCATAAAGAAAGAGAAGTTGGCAGAGCATGAGAGGTTAAAGGAGGGGGTAGAAGGAAATTAAAACTGAGCTGCAGGAAAGGGGCAGAGCAGAACAGAGCCTTGAAGGTGAGGACAAAGAGCATAAATCTGATGTGGAAGTTGACTGAGAGCCAAGAGTTTCAAGAAGGATCAGGTAGCATATTTAATATAGAGAAAAGTGATTAATTTAGCTTCTGCCTTTTGAATGGATCAGAGCAAATGGAGATAATAATTATGGAAATGAGAATGGAGCAGTAGTCAAAGCAAACTATGATCAAGGCATGAACTAGGGTTTTAGTAACTGAGGGAAAATTTTAAAGAGAAAAGTGACAACATCTGGCAAGAAACTTGATGTGCGGAAAGGAGGACTAGGAAGAATAAAAAATGTTCATATGGGAAATTGAGGTTAGTGGAGCTGTCATGGGTGATGGAGATGAGAAACAGGAGAGAGAAGCTTTAAAAGGAATGATGAGAAAGAAATATGCCTTAACTAGTTAAATCCATAAAAATATGGCAAATCAGTTTAACTATAGTATCAACTAAACTAGCCCATTATAAAACTATTAGAATAATTAACACTAATAACATCCCCCAAACACTTTAGCAACTGTAATATAAACTACTGATTATAACTAATTATAACATTGTTTTGTTTTTCTTTCTATGACTAGGAATTTGGAAAAGTTCTGTTGACATTTTGAAGTTTGCCTGTTGATGCGAAGCAGAAAACTTAAACTCATGGATAAGACATCCAAAGGCATTCAGTGTTGATCTAAGTCTTGCTCCCAATGGTAATTAATTATACCTTGACTTCAACAGGAAAAAATTTAGGCAGAAGGCAGTTTTCCTAGCCTGTGCAACTTTTCCTTCCTGCACTGGAATGAACCCGAAACCTTACAACAGTGTTTGTTTCCTCTTCCCTCCAAAAGATCCACAGAGAAATCACAGGGTATCCAGTTGCTCAGTAGTTAGGATATGGGGAGTGGGAAACACAAGTTGAAGTCCTTAATCTGCCTGGTTCAGGCCAGAGACTTTAACTTGAATTTGCCACAACGCAGATAAGTGCTCTAACCACTGGCCAGTCTGTAGTCTCCCTCTCTCCTTAAAACTCCATCTCAGCCTTGAGAAGCCCTTCCAAAGAAAAAAAATGCCTTCCAAGTCAGCATGTTCCCACAAAAAGCTACTTCGATTAATTGGTATTTTTCAACAAACCCCACCCCTGACCCTTTTTCTCAGAAATCTTCCAACCAGTGATTAGTGAGAAATAAGTGAGAATACCACCTAAGATTCTGCATTGTCCTGAGTCTTTGGTAGTTGTACATGCCTTGTACAGGGAGAGGCAGCATGACTGAGAAGCAAGTGAAAAAACTGATCTAATGGCACAAAAACAGAAAATCTCAATATTGCAGAGCTTTACTCATTCCTCTACTTGCAAATTTGAACTTGGTGACACAAGGCAGAAATCACTGCAGGTTAAGGTCCCTAATCCTTATAATCCTTTCATTGCTAATCATTCATTCTCCTCTTATGTGACTATCTTCCTCTCACCTCCTTTAAGCATGGGATGTCTAATCCTGAGGGATGTTGGGCCCCAGTCAGTTCTGCAACTTCATCATCTCACCCCTCAGGATCAGACCAGTGGATGATAAATTGTCATAAATTGACTGCTGCACACATGATTTTAAAGGTCTTTTAACTTTAAGTGGATTCAATTATCAGACAGTTTGCTTATTCAGGCATAATGGTGGCATGCTGGGCCACAGTCATCTCTAGTATAACTCTATTGACTTCACTGAAATTACATCTTTCGAATGTAATAGAGTAACACCAGGTATAAATTTGGCCTGGAGAGTTTAAAGATTTTGCCTGCCTTGAGCTGGTACATCTCACTGGAGTACTGCTGTCAAGCTTAGAGAAGAAAGGTTACCAAATACAAAGTACTAGCTGCTGATGCACAAGCCGGCACAAGAATAACCCCAGAGACTAACTCCCTTCCTTCCAACTCTCTGTACATAGAAAGAGATAGTTAGCCATGACAGCCTGCTTTCAGGCAGAAGGTAAGGTAGATTTGCACCTTGCAGACTAAATCAATCAACATGAGCTTTCATGAGTCCAAGTTCACTTCATCAGATGCTGTGAAAGGACATACACAGAGCTGTGTATCAAACAGAGAGAGAGATCGATCTGAATATAAAAGATAGGGAAAGGAGGGAGGGAAGTGTTTGGAGAGGCAAACAAGTAATAAACCATCCCCATTCTCCCATTCCTCCCTCCCTTCCCATTTTTTGTATTGAAAGAGTATTCAAAAACAGAACAGGTCCAGAATGAAGAATGCCCTTTAATTTTTAAGTGGTTAACTTGACTAGTCACACACAGAGCATACTGCTGCTAATGACACCCCAAGGAAGAAGATGGCTTCTTGACAAACATAGAAAAAGGGCACCTCAAGTCTATACTCCCATGCCAGAATGTAAAGCCAGAGGAATATATGAATGTAAAGTCCACATGTGGCAATATTAGTGCACTTTGATTTTTATGATAAATACTTATAGTTGAGACTGACATTTAATGGGGTAATGTCTATTACAAAGCTTTGAAAGTTTTACATTAGAATAGTAACATTAACCCAGTTAACCTGTGTTGCTTCATTGCTGCTCAATTAAGAATAACATGTGGGTATAATGAATCACATTGAGCTATCTTTCAAGGTTTGATTATAAACAATGTAGGTATCAATTTTTATGTTGCATTTATTTGCCAAAAAAGAATGTTCAAGTCCTCTGGGAACTGGTTCTCAATATTGTAATTAATTTTCCAGGTTTGTAATTAAACAGCTTCAGCATGGTACAATCAGAAGGTAATAACATTCAATTAAAGACACAAGACACATTTTCACCTTAAAATGTTTTTACCCTTGAAGTGATACCAGTGGAAAAGGATAAAATAGAGTATTAGCACTTTTCAATTACGCTAAATGACTTTAATCCTGGAAATGATGTCCTACTTTAATTAGAAGCTCTTCTCTTTATTACAACATGATGGATGTCCACTTTATTAGATTCAAGTGTGACACTATAAGCCCACTTTACATAAACATTACCATGTTATTAAAACCCTCTACAAGGAGGGTTTTTGAAATGTTTTGTAGCACATCAGTACTTCCTACTTTAATTTTAAAATTCTATTATAGTTTCCTACTGGAACACTGTTTCTCCTTAGTAAGGCACAATGCTGCACTTTTCAAGTAAGTGGGCTATGCATTTGGAGGTTAGAGCTGAAATTCTTATCTCTCTGTATAATAGGCTGAAACAAATTTGAATGGAAACTAAAGTTAAACAACTTAATGGTTACAATAATAACAATGGATCATTTTCGGTTTAATACCCTGTTAAGCTCAGGGTATTGAGACTGGTTTTGATCCTGCAATTGGACCCAAGTGCCTACACATGCTAACTTAGAAGTGGCACCCTGTGGTAGGAACCTAGGCAGATCCATTAATGTGGACTGGCCTGTAGGATTAAATAATACCTACAGCAGTAATGGTGTTTTGGGGCACATTCCTCTCAGATTGATGCCAGTCTATTTTGTAACATATTTATTAACCTCTGTGAGAAGCTGACCTTTACAGAGCGTAGCTCACGTCAGTTTTGCAGAGGAATTCAATTTTTAACTCAAGTTCTCGTAATAAATCAGTGAAGAACAGACTTCTCAACAGAAACCACCAGGACAGAAACAGAGTTGGGGCAATTTCAGTGAGGCTCTCTTTTACCAGGCACCTAAACTGAGCTGACTCAGAAAGCGGAGTTGGATGCTTAGTAGCTCGAGGTGACACTAAGCATGCAGCTTCAATAGAGCTAAAGCCAGACAGGCAGAGTGTGCTTCCCTAAGGTACTTGGGCTGTTACTATTCCCTGACCTTTACTGAGTGAGATTTGTGCTGGTTGCAGTGATGTGGCCAGAAAACTCTTGTCTTTTGGACATTTACAGAGGGAAATAATTTGTATGGACTGTTAAAGCTTTAGAGAGTGTCTTCATCTTCATTTGAATGTTATAGCATCATTAAGCTTCCTCAGGCTCAATATCCCTGTTTCTCTTAAAAGAGATCTCTTTGTTCTGCATATGGACTTAGAGAGGAAGGAAAGTTGTGCCTGTTGAGGGCAAGCAGAGGAGGATGGTTTTTTATTGTTTTTCCCAGAATTCTGACAAGGATCTCAAGCCAGTTTTACTGTTATTGGCCTAGACATATTGAACTTGGCCCCTGCTGCCATTAACCACCTGGCAGAAGAATAACATATGAAAATATACCCCAGCTGACTCCAGGAGAAAAATTACATTAATATATGTGCCCAGATTCTTAATTGAGGCCTCACCTATTTGTTTGGATCAGATGTCACAAAAGAGCTGGAAAATGACCAAAAATAAGCATCATAGAAATCTAGTGTTACAATTCTATGCTGCAAGAGAATTGGCAGTAATAGACTAATTAACTGCCTTACAAATAATACCTCTTCTCCTGTTCTGAGCAGAGCTCAAGTACAGCAGAGGCTCTAGCCCATGGTTTATCACATTCAAACATTTACACACCAAAAGGAAATCCATCCAGATGGTGACAGCACCTGACTTCTAAAATCATCTAGTATTGGCAGAACATTAACGATGGAAATTTAAACAAAGGCTTAGGCATAATGGCATCATGTTTGGGTGTAAAACTAATGAAGCCAATACACACCCACAGCAATAATCACGGTGGAATCAGAAACTCCGTCTTAAAAATAACACACCCAGAGGAAAAGATTTTAAAAAGTAACTGCAGAAATTGTTTGTGCCATTTTTGCCAGAGCAAACAAGCTGTGTGTTCAAAAGGTGCATTAGCATGCATGTATGTACCAGGGCAAATCAGTCAGTGGATGGAATTACCACTTCTGATTTGCTAAGAAACATGCACATCCTATTATTTTTGCTACCCTATCTCTCATGACATGTTCCATATTTATCTCATCCACCTGTTATCCTGTATTTCAGAAAGAACAGACTGTCAGGCAGATACTGCCATTTTTTTTGTATGACTGCAGAGCACTTAGTTCAGTGGAGCCACAACCCAGTTGGCCTACACTTCTCAACATAAATGTTCAACACCACCACTACTGCCTTTGTTGTTACATTAGAGTATCTTGGGGATAAATGTGTTGTCTGAGTAAGATGCACAGAACTTGGGAAAGATAGTAAAGTAAAACAGAATATTTAAAAACTGAATGATATCAAATAAAAATGTGATTAAGTTTCAGGTGAAATTTTTAGACTTACCTGGCTGCCTTCCTTTTGCCAAAAAACAGCAGGCTGGGGATTTCCCTTAGTTTCACAAGGAAAAGTCACTGTTCGACCCTGGGCTACAATCTGATCTCGTGGCCTCACCACAAACTGTGGGGGAGCTAAAATATAAGAATAAACACCATGTAAAATTAAGAGAGATTCCTCAGAGAGTAGATGAATAATATCAAAGGGCAAAAAGAGCATTATGTAAATGTATTTTTATGCCATAGGGTATAAACCTTGATTTATTAGTAGATACAAATTTAGTAAAACAAGAAAAGAAAAGAAAGCAGCAACACTAAGTCATGATCTCTTTTAGCTGTAAGAAGAAAAGCACTATAATCATACATTCATTTAAACTGAGATGAAAATAAAGTCAGAAGCCAGTATCATGGGCGTTGGTTATGTTCTAACCGTTTCCTTGAGGCTTGTTTGGACTGACACTCACATACCATCCATGCTGTACACAGCTCAGCATTGGGCCTTTGCAGTGGTGTGCCTTAAGGTATGAAAGTGGCTCATCCCTGTCATATTTTTCAGTCCATCTGACTACACTGTTAAAAGTGAATGAGAATAGGGTTGGAGGAAAGGCCCAGAAGTGACAAGAGAAGTAGTCCAATGCATCCCTCAGAGTCCTTGAGGAAGAAGTAGGGGTGGCAAGAAGAGGTTGCTGTGGGAAAGAACATCCTCAGAAGCAATGTAAGATATGAGAACAGGGAAACAGGTTGGGAAAAAGGCAAAAGGGAGAAATGTTGCTGTCCAACAGAGAATCAAGGTTTATTTGACACTATCTTTCTCTGGACCAACTGTTTAGCTAGGAGACATGTTAGGCAAACTTTTGAGAACAAGTGCCCTTCTTAAGATGACCACTACTTTACAATAAATTAATAATAAAAGCCAGCTCTTGGAGCCATATGGTTAGATGAGAATATTTGCTTCTATTTATTTTTTTTTAAATGTCTAGCATTTCTGCACGACAAAACAATATTTGGAAATGGCTTGATATGAAAGGCCATTTTGTTCAAAAGGCTACCTAGCATTTCTCTCAACAATACAGTTGGTCCAATAAAAGATATCACCAAAAAAGCCTTGCATCTTACAGTTCCTGAACCATCATAGATACAACAAAACCCCAACCCTACTGCTGATGCCAAAATTTTTGTATTGGTAGACAATCCCATGCCCAACACTCACTTTTGCTATGTTACCTTATTTACTTGTACAACATTTGTGCCCTTTCCCAAAAACCATCCCTCCAAAATTTAGGTACGTCTCAACTGGGGAAGCTGATTTGGTTACCAGAACTGCAGCATGCAGATACTGAAATGGGTGTATAAGGAGCTGAAATGGCTGTTATGGGCTGTCCTTCTCTCCCAGCCCCAGGGGCAGAGGAGGGGAATGCAGTCTTCATTGTCACACTTAGGGTGCATACAGATGTTTAGGGACTGCACACTAACTCACGGAGCTTTATACATGCCCCCTTCCCTCCCTATCCCCAACCCCCCATGATCCAACAGACATTTGTCTGTTGGGTTGAGGGACAGGATCAAGCCTGTTTGCATCAGCTCTGACCAGCAGGCAGAAGTGCTCTAGCAGCCTCTGAACTGCTTTGTCCCCATCTCCACATCCCCCCAAATCTGGGGCCATCAGTAGGAGAGGGAGGGGAAGGGATCAGCACAGAGCTACTGGCTGGGTTTTCCCTGGCTAGAGCTGGA